GGGTTTAACCCATTTTAATAATAAATATTACCTTGCACTGAGGTAAAACCTTGGGTAGCCTCCTACGCTAGTTGAAGTCCTGGATTACGCATGCATTAGAAAGATGCTGAGCTTGTAGTAAAAAAACAAATGCAGGCTGACAGGGCTTGGCTCGTGAGGTAATAAACCTGACGCTTATCCGATGCTGTTTAAGGTGAGGTTGAGGTAGTGTGGTAATAAAGCAAGGTTTACCTTACCTCATATACAAAATAAGACTGCAACTGTAAAGTGTTTTACAATGAAGTCCTATAACTATAGTGACCATGATCAAATAGATAGTGTTAGTGATGTTAACAGAAAGAAAAAGATGCATAGTCTTCTGTGCCTTGTTACCGAGTAGGATTTAACACGGGAACATTGGATTATTTGAATGTGTATACTGTTGAAGTGAACAACAGTGGCCAGGACAGAGGAGTTGGAGAAAACTTTTTAATATAACAATATGGTATTCTGTGTTGACCATTCAAAGCAATTGTACAGGCACAACCAGAAGTCCTCAGTATGTGATGAGTAGCAACAACATTGGGATAATACAATGACAAGGAGTCATCCAGACTCAAACCAAAGCAGAGTAGGTATTTTTAATATTTAGAGGGGGAAAAAAAGGCTGACAATAAGCAGGGCCGGAATTGGGCACCACAATCATAAGTTGTATTAATTATTGGATTAATGCACCACCCCGAGGTGGACAGGGAAATTGACCCAAATCATGGGGCTTAAATAGTCTATAAAGGAGTAATGGGCTTGTATGCAACATAATCACAAATTATGCTGCATAGATTCATTTTAAAGCATTACACTTCAGTAACCAGAAACAATGAAACATTATAATGGGACTTGCACTATTAGAGTTGTGTCATTATTGCTTAACTTAACACCTTGATCAGTCAACCTCTAGTTCACGTCTAATGGAAATGAAGGATTAAAACACACAGGACACATTGTATTAGGAGCAGTGGGCAGCTACAAAACAGCACTTTATCTTCGAGCAGTAATGTTTACTCAGCGTATTTTGTATTTGTATGTACTTCTTTGAGCAGTTAATTATTCTCGTACTTGAGTAAGTAGCCAAACATGTATTTTACTTGATCCAACATATTTTAGTTCTCTTTCCATCTAGTTTTTCATTTTACAATACTGGCAAACCAAAATATAAGTGATCATTTTGTGTATCCAGCCAACCATTTGTCAAAGGCAGGATGGGAAAATCTCAGGGCTTTCCAGAATGAATAATTGACATCTCTCCATATCCACAACTATAAGCCTGAGGTTTTTCTATGTTTCCTTCCAATCTTTCTGTTTGAACCTCTGACTCATTTCAAACATGCAACCAATGATGAATGTATAGTACAGAGCATCATTCCTGAAGTTGCAGAAAAACAATAAATTACAATGAATTGGTACAGTTCCAAGGGGGAATTTCAAAGAGTTGTTCACAGGGAACCATGCCGTTTACAATGGGACAAATACACTGTCTTCTCCAAGATTAGTATAGTTGTTTTACCAATTTCCACAATAGTGAAATACTTCTTGAAATATCCTTTATTCAACAAGTGACAGGAGTAAATTGGAAAACAAGACTAATTTAAAAATGATTGATATTCTATTGAATTGTTTTGGCAAGGTAACTTCATGATGATAAGTGATGAATGAATGTTCTTACACAATTGAAATCGACATGGTAGCTACAATCACTGTACTCAAACAGCTTGTTATTGCCTGATTGAATGTTTGTACCTGGGTAGGGAGTTGAACTTTTCCTAAAATAATTAGAAAAGGTCAGCATAAAGGCATGAAAGCCTGAAAGAATTACGCTTTTGGATGTTGTTTTCAAACTGTCACTGCTTATTTAATCACTCACTGGCTCAATACCAAGGATATTAGGAGACATTGGGCAATCAACCTCACTAGAAACTAGCCAAATAACTGCTATGTATACTGACATTATTATGGAAAATGTGTTAAAGTGGACCTATCATGCTATATTTGAATAATATAGTGTAGGACCATACCTATATAAGGCATGTTTATACTTTTTATTTATCAAAATACCAAACAGATCATGCATTTTAGCCATTCCTCATTTCACTCACTTTAACACTGTCTTTGCATGGGCTGATTCTGTGAGAACAGCACCACCTACAGGCCTGGCATATGTACTACAGCGTCTCCAGCGCTTTCGAACGGCAATGTCCGTGGCTGTCTCCTCCTGATTGGTGGAGTTGGCCCAATAGCCGTAGCGCCACTTCTGTGACGTCATAGCAGTGTTCAAATCTGGATCAGTCTGTATCAGATCCGTTGCAGCCCCTTTTTAAGAGGTTTGGGTATGGAGGAAAATAGAGAGGGTTGTGTTTTCTGACACTTGGTGAGTTCTGGAGTCCTGGAACACCGGGGACACATATTCATGTATAAAAGACGTACAAAAGTGCATTTTGCATGATAGGTCACCTTTAAAGAAAATAAGGAAGGTTGTGGTGCAGAGAGGGGCAGAAGCTAAAGTTAGAGAATCAAAATCTAGAGTTCAGGGAGGAGCAGAGCACAGCTGCATGAAAATAAATCATCCAACTCAATGATACAAGTCATCACTAGATCTAAGACTGTCCAAACCAGCATAATTCCCCTTCACACTGCTGCCCTTCAAATCCCTGGACTCAGATGAAACAAAAGAGTGTGTGTGAGTGTTTGTATTGCTCTTAAATGTTCATCTGACAGGCACATCACATTGTTAAGAGCCTGCGATGTGCGCACATACTGTATACACACAGCACCACACACAAACACAACTTCAGTTTACTATTCCCCAGCAAGATAGTTTTAAACTTTAAGCGTGTCACCAAATTAGAACGGAAGGATGTGTGCTCGGTCTGCTTATGGCTAGCTGTGTAGTGAAGAATACTCATCTGTGAAAAGCCAGTGTTTCTCTCTCTCCCCTAGACTTGCGTTCAATCATTCTCTGAACAGTGTTCGAGTACTTTGAATGGATACTGCACAGTATGAGGTACATTTGGAGTTACAAGCTATACACTATTTTACTAGAGGCATACCAGGTTCCCAATTATTTTTTGTTTTTTGTTGCCCCCCGTGGCAAGTTAAACTAAAGATGACAAGTAGCCTGCTTACACTTCTTATTTAATATCTGCCCAGTCTGTGACCTTATGGGCATCATGGGAGTTTCTAATTGTGAGGCACACATGTTTTCTCCAGACTACTGGCTAAGAACGGTGTTATTAACACATAGAAAAGTTAGTTATTTGGATGATAAAAAGTATAATATCATATTTCAGAATATTTGTTTATTGGCCAACTGTTTGTACTCTGCCCCACAGCGTATCCTTATGGATTTGGGGAGAAGTCTGTGCCTGCGTGTTCAATCATTATGCACTTTTTCACCAAGTCTACATCCAACCTTGATCTACATATATTACATACATGGCAACAATGGCACCATTTTTAAATCAGGTTCTGGTTATAGAAACACACTACTTGAACTATACGACCTCTTATAAATGTCATTGTTTAACTGTATAGTGCGTTAATGAGTTAAAAAAAGTGTAATATAGCCTACTTTGCTTCTTACGCTCTATTTCCTTCTGCACACCAGCACCAGCTGTAGGCCTTCCAGCTCACTTGCACATTTGAGTGTAACACCCTTTAACCATCTCTACATGGAAACTACATTCAGATGCATTTACTGTTATCCAATTGAGTTGTTGTGGCTTAGCTTGAGCACGTTTAGCTGATTTATTTCCCCTGGGACAGTAGATGAATACACCTCGTCATCCTCGACACTATTTTAATCCCTTTCTAATGTGCCAGAAACAAAGGAGGTGTTTGGAATCATTGCAGCATAAAGCAAAGCACATAAAAAAACATTCATTTGATAAAAGTGAACTTGCCATTTTAGGATTTACTCATAACACCATTAGAACAATCTTAAATGAAAGTAAAAAGATGAACTTTTCTGTTATCTAATTGATGAAACTAGAAGTGCCTGTTCAGCCGATTGCTTGACCTCTTGTATTGCTGCTTGCAGCTTACATGAGAACTGCTCATCCAAACCACTTCACACTGGACAATGCACTGCCCGGGGGTCATCAGAAATACACTTGCTGAGTGTGAAGTGGATCGGATTAATGGTTGTAAAGAAAATCGAAGGAGTGACATACATGCATACAGACAGAGCATCCTTCCATTTTAGTTGCAACTTTAGCATGGCACATTGAAATAGACCACAGAGATACAGCAAGAATCCTGGGGTGCATTTAAACCTTAAAACCTAGAATGCTGTGTTTAAATGGTAGGTGGTGTAGAGATGCCACACCACCCCTAGGACACCTCTTCTGATGCACTGCTCATACATTGTTGCCGTTTTAAAATCGGCTGCAGATTTCAGATCTGTGCAGCATTAGCAATAGTTCACATTACACAACGTAGTTTGCTGCTTCAGTGAGGAGCTCTCATTGAGTTATGACCATTAGCTCATTTGATGAGTGCTATCTTGCGTACAAGATGGCTTATTCAAGTATTTTACCTAAACTCTTGCAAAACTGTGCCGGATAAAAGTAGAAGGTAGAAAACACCTTTCTTCTGGGAATCAACTTGTATGCAATAAGCGCTATATATTTTTTATTCCTACAAGAGCAAACTCGGCTGAGGGTATATTTAGAGAGGAAAGAATGTCTCTTCTTTTATCAAGGGAAATACATTTTGCATGGGAAGGATTATGTTGAAAATATAAAAATTCTGAGTAAATCCTTGTACTACAGTAGAGCACAAATTGTACAGCCTACCCAGTCACACATAGCTCCTGACAGCTGACTGAAAATAGCCAAGGCCATGCCATGTACTGTTTGAAAGGGTAGAGACACTTACGTCAGTTAGGGGATTTAGAGCGCTGACAAGAAACAAAATAATGAATGAAGGAAGTAAATAATTAAAGAATAAAGGGAGGAATTACTCACAACTCTCTATCTCGAGTGTGCAGTTTTGCTCATCCAGAGGATACCTTCTCAGGTCCATCATACAGGCAGCGGTGGTAGTGATCCTGAAACACAACACAGAGTATGTTCAATTCAAAGCATTGTGGTTACATTTGATGGACAGCAAACTAGACGTGTAGGTAGAGTGTCATGAATCAAATGTTATACATGTTTAGGGTCAAATGTGAGAACAGTTCAACATAATTCACAGAATACTGATATGCCTTCATCTTCCACTTAACCATAGGTAACTAAACTCAAAATCTTTGTAACCCTGCACTGGTAAATGCAGGAGCCTCAGAGGATTTGGGAAGCGGTGGCAGCAGTTGTTGGAAGTCCGCTGGGGATTACAGGGCCAAAGCTAATCCTTATGTCCCAGTTTTAGCATTGTTTGGATAATCCTATGGGTCCTCTGTCAGGCACCACCTGAGATGCAAGTCACAGGAGGGATCAAACTCTGCGGGGCAGTGGTGGCAGCAGTAGGCCAGAGATAACAGTCGTGCTGGTTGTACTACTATTATTACATGTCATGGAATATGTCGGATGAAGGCAGAGTACTGATGACATCCCAAATACTATAACATAGCTTGAGTAAAATACTACTACTAAATGGAATTAAGAATGTTTTCATACTTGCTGAACACAACAGTTACAAACAATGTGACTGGCAGGATGTGAACACAAACAAAATGTCAATAAAGTATGTGATTTCCAAGGCTTTGTGTCTGTGTAAAGTTTTAACGCAGTTGTCCATCCCTCCCTCTGTTCATTTGACTGACAGTGCTTTGCTTTGTGAACATTTTTGTTAAGTGCGAAAAGTTGTATAAATAAACAAGGATAAAAGAGATTGTGGGAGGACCTTTTATGTTTGTCTCCACTTAGAATCAAAGTGCTTTTCATGTTTTAAGTTCTTAACCCCTGAATTGTCACTTGCGAGGGAAGAGGATAATAGGTGCTGACAGAATCCAATTTTGACACAAAGACATGTCATCATCTCAGCTATGGTGAACTCCACTTCAGTACAGCCAGTGATTAATTCTTCTTTCATACTAGGAACCTCAGTGGTGATTTATTAACAATTGTTCTGTTGAGTATTTATTATTTGTATTTTCTTCTTCCTTCTTTGGTTGAACAAAGACCAAGTTGACTTCAGACTTTGAGTTTCTATCTTCATGAGCAGCAGCCCAATGAGCCAACTCCATAAAACGTCACACATTGATAGGAATACTTTCAACATGTTTGAATTATTTGACACTGAGCTGCTTCAAACATAGCTGCGAGTTGACAAAGAGAACAAAAGCTAATTCTTCATAATTCTACTTGAATTCTAGCTGGAAACGCATTTTAAACCAGAAACGTGGACTGTAAAAAATAAACTGTACATGAAACATGGCCGTTTAAATGTGGATTATTAATGGGATCAATGTTTAGAATTGGAATCTACTGTTAAAAAATAAATGTTTTTGCATGGTAAGTACTTTTATAATGCCTGCAAACAGTATTGGCCAAGGAACTATAGTTGTCTTGTCAATGCATGTCTGCGTAAAAGGAGTGAGACACAATCTCTATCCAAACAAAAAGACAGGGATGGATAATAAGGGATAATAACATCAGCCAACCATGAGTCAATAGATAAGGTGACGTTGTCCATCAGACTTTGTGAAGGAAACATAAGGAGGTGGCTCTGAGTAATGGGCTGCCATTCTTTCCCTGGCTCTGGTCTTGTGTGAGAACTTGACTCCCACGGAGGGAGTTGCCACAGAGCAGCACAGCATGGTGGGTAATCGTCTAGGCACACCTGACAACATAGGTACATTTGTTCCAGAAGAGAGGCTCATCTCAAGTCCAATCCTCTGCGTTACACAGCAGAGATAATCACCCTAGTGTGTCTCTATTCCCTCTTGCTCTCTTTCTTCCTCCTACTATTCTCTCTTTCAGACCAACAGCAGCTGGAAAGTCCATCTTTTGCATCTTGAAATCCTGGAATCAAAGCAATCAAAGCTTCATGCCATTGTTCATCAGACAAAATGTCTTTAGCAAACTTTCTGTATGATGATGTAGCTATATTTTGAAAAAGCTGCTGTTGTCAGTTTTCTATAGGCATCCCATTCTCTCTGTAAATCTGACCAACTGAGCTCACCTCAGGCTCCGTATGGCAAACAATTGGAACCACACAGAGACGTTTTCATCAACAGAAATGTTTATATATATAT